GCACCTTAGTCCTCAAACTGACATCTTTGTTCTGAACACATTTCAGAAGACTTTTGCAGATTTGCCTACTACAATACGTCACTTGATTTCTTGACTGCTTCTATTGATTGTGGATCCAAGCAAATTAAAGTCTTTGACAACTTCAATCTTTTCTCCATTTATCATGATGTTATTTATTGGTCCAGTTGTGAGGATATTTGCTTTCTTTACACCGAGGTGCAATCAATACTGAAGGCTGTAGTCTTTGACCTTCTTTGCACTGAGGTAAAATCCATACTGAAGGCTATCGTCTTTGATGTTCATCAGTAAGTATTTTAAGTACTCTTTGCTTTCAGCAAGCAAGGTTGTATCATGTAATTATCAGTACATCTTGATTGCATATTTAATCCTAAAACTACAGACTGAAGAATTTGGTAGAATTCTTCAATTTCATCATCAGTGGCTTTACTGGTTGGGTGAGGTGCACCTGGTCTTCCAACTGACATCAAGGTAGTGGGAGTATACAATAATGGTCGGGGTAAAAGTATTTCTTTTTTTGTTGCATCATTTTTGAGATCTTTTTCATGTTATGAGTTCAGATGAATTTTTTTCAAATTTAATGTACTGAATCAGTATTGGCGGAAACCCTATACAGGGTCACTATGGGTTGGAAGTAACTCGGCTGCACTTAACAACATTAGTATTGGAGTCCTGATGTGGAAAAGTATTGGTCTGCTAGCCACAAGGATGCCAGGTGAAATCCACCAGCTGCTCCTTGGATACCCCACACAGGGTTGTTTTGAGTTGGAATTGACTCCATAGCACTTAACAACACATCTTATTATTAAACTGTTTGTAGTCAATAAAACATGCTTTCAATGACTTTTAAAACTTTTCTATTACATTGACAAAAGAGTTTTATACACATAAAAATACTTACATCTTGAAAAACTGGCTCCCATTGCTCTCTTGGCCCAATTGCATCTGAACGCCCAACAACAAGTCCATCTGAATTTATACCAAGGTATTTTCCATAGCCAGATTTCAGGGCAATTCTTCAAAATAATGAAATAGACAAATGTTAAAGAGAAAAGACAGTTCAATATGGAAGATTAAAATAGTACACACATACACATGATTTCTTTATAGTAAGATTTTTTTATTCTAATAAAGTATAATTAGAACAAGGAAAAAAGTTTAAAATAAACATTTGATGTGGTTTGAGGTATCTCGAAATA